ACGAAGAAGTTACCATATGGTAAGTAGTTGGTAAAAAAAAGTTTCTCGAAATATATTAAAAATTGATATCATTTTGTAGAGCACAACGAACATGCTCCATGTGTGCAAAAAAATTGAAATCCGAATTAGAACAAAGAAGATAAGAGTCGATTATGAAAAGTAGGAAAAATAAAATGTATTTAATTGATAACCCTTATATATGTTTTCTGAGTCCAGTTAAATCTAAAGTTCCATATTTAGTTACTCATAGGTCAGTAAACCATAATTACTTAACCTATCCTAAGCCAGGACATTATCAAAAGAGTACGCACAAAGTAGAACTTACTGAAAGAAAATCACGAAATTGAACACCTCGAGTCCCACCTGACAGACACCCGATGCATTCCAAAGAAAATCACGAAATTACCCATTTGGATACAATTTCCTCGGGAATGGAATTTCATTTTCATTGACAATTTGGATTTTTGTGGGATTTCATTTTCAAACATCATGTTTGAACAAACCCTAAAATTTTGGAAATTAATTATAATTTACTGATATAAATATATGACAATTAAAAAGATGAGTAAGAAATTGATCTAAAACACGATTCAAATAGATAATTCAGCCGGATTACATGAGTGGAACGTGTCCAAAATATGCAAAAAAAAAAAAATCAAAAGAGAAAATGTTGGCATATGAAATTCAATAGAGAACAAAATTAATTAAGAATAAAAATAGAGATAAACAAGTAGCACATGCATACCAATATGATCGAACTAGCATCCTCATCCTGCAGTAAACGATCCACACAAAGAGGAATAAGAAGAGCAAAGCAAAAAGAGAGGAATTGCACCCCAATCTTGAGGTCAAGATTGGTTTTAAGGGGGTGGAATGTTAGAAACATTGGGAATTTTTAGGTGTTATTAGGAATTTGGTTAATTAGGAATTGTGGCCCTATTTGTCGTGTTAATTAAGTTTGAGATTGTGGGTGTTCTTTTGAGGTTTTTAGACATTATTGGCCTATTCGGATTAAGATTTATTCTTTGAGTAAAAAAGGTAATTTGTTCGAGTTTATATTCTGTAAATCCGGATAATTTTCATTAAGCAGTAATTATTCAGGAAACCCTAAAACCTAATCTCTCATTTCTCCCACTCTTCCCACGTCCGACCCCTTCCCCTCTCAAGAGCTACGGCTCTCCTCTCTTCCCTCTACTGTCCTAACTCTTTTCCCCAACCCGCTGCTTCTTCAATTCTTCTACTTCATCAATTCTTGTCCCAAACCAATCTCCCAATTCTGATTATTGACATCATTCTGAAGCCCTAGGTATCCACAGTTCTAACAAAGTCTTGAAGCATTTTGATAAGTCTTGGGCCAACGTAACCCCCCTGTAGCACGAGGGAATCAAGACTTAGAAAACCCTTCCACTTTGAATTTGCTCCGAGATCTGCTGATGCGTATAGATTTATTATATATTCTTATATGGATTAATTATTATTGGTAGTTGTGTTAGGGAGATAATTATGGTAGTTAGTGGGTTAGTAGAAGTGAACGGCTATTTGCCGCCAACCAAATTGCTATTTGCCGCCAACAAAAAAAAAAAAAAAAAAATTCAAATTTTGAATTCAAATTTTGAATTCTCCCCTTCCTTCCCTTCCTATAAATTTGAATACCATAACATTACCTCATTCCAACAAAACACTTTTGTCGACGAGCCCAGTGCCTCCGTCGCCGGCACAGTTCCTCCGTCGCCGGCCAACTTCCCGTCGTCCTCAATCGTCGGAAACAAGTAAGTTTACTTTTTCCGACAATTTTTTCTGTTTTTCCGGCGATTTTTCCAGTTTTCCGGCGAAAAACACGGTGGGCCGAAAGAATTTGGCGGCCGGAACGTGGCCGGGCCGAAAAAAAATTTCGGCCGGCGCGACGCCCAGCCGAAAAATTCTTTCGGCCCGGCGACGTTCCGGCCGCAAATTTTTTTCGGCCGGTCGCCGAAAGCTCCGCCGAAAAGTTTTCCGGCGGCGCGTTCGGCGACCGGCCGAAAAAAATTTGCGGCCGGGACGTGGCCGGGCCGAAATATTTTTTCGGCTGAGCGTCGCGACGGCCGAAAAAATGTTTCGGCCCGGCCACGTCCCGGCCGAAAAAATATTTCGGCCCGGCCACGTCCCGGCCGCAGAATCTTTTCGGCCCGGCGACGCGCCGGCCGCAATTTTTTTTCGGCCCGGCGGCGCGCCGGCCGCTATTTTTTTTCGGCCCGGCGGCGCGCCGGCCGCTATTTTTTTCCGGCCCGGCATGTTTTTTTAATTTAATTTAATTTAATATGTTAATTAATTAGTCAATAAAAGTTACTTAATTAGTTAATTTCGATTAACTACTTAATTAAATGTTTTTTAATTACTTAGATTAGTTAATAGAAAATTAAATAATTAAGAATTGGTTTAACAATTAATGTTAATAGTACATTAGTTAATAGACTTGCAGTTAATTAGTGATTAATTAACAATTAATGTTAATAGTACATTAGTTAATAGAAATTTAATTAATTAGTGCGCATCTATGTATGATATTGATTAATTAGTGATTAATTAACAATTAATTAGTTAATCGAAATTTAATTAATTAGTGCGCATCTAAGTATGATATTGTGTAAATTTGTAGATAATTAGATATGGATGATGCGGGTGGGAGTGAGTTGGGTAGATTCAATGGTAGGGTTGTTGATGCATCAACACGAAGGAAGGTGCCTCAGAAGAATAAGGAGAAGAAGCGCACTCGAGATATTGGACATCAGTCAGAGGCTCCTACTTTAGTTGCTCGTTCGTCATCACGGGCGTCTGGTTCCCATGGGGGGAACCAGGGTGCTGCATCGAGAGTGGTCTCTGCTGAGTTTGATGAGGACGATAGAGATGAGGACGATAATGATGAGGATGTCGATGTCCCTCCACCTACGCATGGACATGGACGAGTGCAGGATCGTACGGCGACATCACGTCCTGCTATGTATAGGGACCGAGCTGGGCGATTCGTACCACCTGCTCGTCAGGAGACAGAGAGCTCGGGGACTGGACGGAGTAGGGGAGGACGTTCGAGTGGTCCTCCACCGTGGGAGCTTGTTGGTGAGTGTCCTGGTGGACCTACGGATCCTAGCCTCATTAGGAGCTTCCGTGGCCACGCTTCCTACGCACTTTGGACGGGGCTTGGAGATCGAGGGGTCATCAGTTGCTACACCCGTACAGGGGCGGTTGACTATCTTGGGAACTACGTGTTTAGTCATGGCCAGGCGGAGGATCTGGTTCAGCAGTCAGGTCTCCAGCACCTGATCTACTCTATGTTCCGCAGGATAGCGATTGACGAGGCTTTGATCTCAGCTTTTGTGGAGAGGTGGCAGCCAGACACGAACACTTTCCACTTGCCTTTTGGAGAGATGACGATCCTCCTCCACGATGTTCAGTACTTACTGCAGATTCCTGTTGAGGGACGACTGATGAGTAGGACTTCTGAGCAGCTTGACCATCCGGAGGTGGGTTTGTGTGCGCTTCTTGGGATGAACTCGGAGCAGTTGAGTGGTCGTTCGGAGGTCCCTGGATTTGGTAGTAAGGGTAAGTGGTACGACAAGGGTGGTTTTCTTGCGGACATGGCGTCCAGGTACTTGCAGGTGAACGGGACACATGTGACAGAGGCGCAGTCGTACTTGTTGTTGATGTTGGGGTCCACTTTGTTTGTGGACAAGAGTAGAGACAGGGTTCGGCCGGTGGTGAACCTATTTTTGGACGAGTTGGAGGAGATAGATCAGTACAGTTGGGCGTCCGGTACACTTGCTTGGTTGTACAGATGCCTTGGTCAGGCGTCTCGTGCTGGTGCTAGGGGGGTGGCTGGTTGTCTCACACTTCTGCAGTGTTGGATCTACGAGTACTTTCCGGGTTTCAGGCCATCTCACTTTGAGCCACCTGTCGTTGGACCTGATGAGGCTTGGGCTTCACGATGGATTGGGCAGCCGGCGACTGGTTCTGTGGCTGATCCCAGTGTGAGGTTGGCGTTCTACCGTCGAGCTCTTGACAGCTTGACCCCTGCTGATGTGTTTTGGACACCTTTCCATCAGAGGCCTCATCTTGAGGTGCGTCGCTCTTTGTACACTGGAGTGATTCGGTTCGCTGATATAGGCGAGTTCTATGATCCAGCCCGTTGCCTCCGACAGTTTGGATACCGACAGATGATACCGCCTCCCCCTTCGCGTCCTCAGCGAGCAGACCGACCAGAGGCACCTGGTGGATATGTCATTCGGATTCCTGAGAGTTTTGATGCTGCATGGGATGCTCTGCTATCCCACATGGTTCATATAGACATGTACTCTCAGCCCTGGAGGACGTATCCATATGAGACTACGGCCGACTATCTTGACTGGTTCGTGGCACACTCTCATTGTAGAGTCCTACGGGATGATGGAGATGCAGATCGACTAGTTGACTCCGCAGCGGTAAGATTTGACCACTAGACCGTTACTCTATTATAAATATACTTAGCGTGAAACTAACAATTGTTATTGTTTTTTTTTTTGTGCAGCGTGCTCGAGACCTTTTGTACACGTTTGCACCTGCAGTTCGAGCAGCAGCAGGGACCGAGGATGAGTTTCTTGAGCATTCTCGACGAGCCTACAGGGCACTGCACGGAGTGCAGGATGTGTGGACTGAGTACTGGGCCTCCCAGGGACTCCCCCCTCCAGGGGATTTTTAGTTGTTTTGATGTTTAGATCGGATGTTTATGTTTAGACTGCATGTTTGCATATTTATGTATGTTTGGATCAGATGTTTATGTTTGACTACTTATGTTTGGATCGGATGTTTGACTACTTATGTTTGACTACTTATGTTTGGATCAGATGTTTATGTTTGACTACTTATGTTTGGATCGGATGTTTGCACACTCATGATTAAAACATCGAGGGTAGATAATGAAATCCATAATGATATCCATAAGTTCATGATGATAATGAAATCCATAATGAAATCCATAAGTTCATGATGACACTAGAGCCATTTAAAATACAACTAGAAAAACAACAACATATAAATAGAGCATCGCAACACTATGCATTGCTCCTACCCCTACCCCTTCCCCTAGCTCTTCGGGGGTCTCTCTGCCTGGCTCGCTGCCGACCACCAAGACTCGCATACAAATTTTGTCCACCCTCGAGAATAGCTTCCCATCCCGCCACGTTAGGACTTGCTATCCCATGCCAAAGTGGATGCAGAGGGGGTATGGGAAACTGATCCTGGTTGAAGTACAATCGAATGTAGTGGTTGTTCACATAGTGCAGTGATAAGAACATGGTTGGTGGCAAAGTACCTTGGTCCGCATCAATAGGCAATACCACATAGGCATCATCGTAGCGGTTGGGTAGTGGACGGTTTCCATTATTGACATCAAACATCTGGTATGTGAAGACCATGACTGCGATGTTGTAGATGGTGGCAAACACGAACAAGTCCTCAGAATCCATCCATCGCCCCATTGGTGCGGAACCCGCCTCGAGCCAATTGATGCGGTCAATGTGAGCTAGTGGACCACCATTATACAAGTTCTCGTACTTCCATAAATGTTGTTGGATTTCATGGACAATCGCCGATCTCATGAGCAGATAGTGACTATCATCCCCATAAATACAATGAGAAAGTGCCCTAAAACCACAATGGCCGTCTGGACTAGGGTTGAAATCGCCTACCAGCAAAGGTCGAACAAACTCTGGAAAAAGCTCATCGATGTAAGGGTAAGAATATTGCCCTGGGGGGCTCTGTGATGAGTAATCTACAAAAAATATACCAAACAGTCAAAATTACTTGGACAAAATTTACAAACATAAACCAATTACTACTAGATGGACTACAATATTTAACCAATTACTCACCTGTATCATGCTCGTCGGATTCACCTCCACTCGATCGGGATCTACCTCCACTCGATCGGGATCTGCCTCCACTCGATCGGGATCTACCTCCACTCGATCGGGATATGCCTCCACTCGATCGGGATCTACCTCCACTCGATCGCCCCCTGCCTCCACTCGAACCAGGCCCAGTACTCCTCGAACGAGACCGCTCATAATATGAACGAATGCGACTGGTGCTTGTTCGAGGCCGTCCTCTCGGATTCTCATTCACTTCCGGTTCCCTCACATTGTCCTCTGCTGGGTGAAGCCCATAGAATAGGGCATCTCTTGCTTGTCTCACTGCTTCAGGACCTCTTTCTTCCACCTCAACAGTAAGACGCCTAAAGTGTTCTCGTTGAAGCTCAATTTCATCATTGACTTGTTGTTGACGTGGGGGGTTTTTATAATCCAAAGTCCGCCAAAATACATGCAACTCTTGAGCATAGAATTGACGTCCTTCTTCCTTAGCTTGAACAACCTGGCAAGCACACTTGAGCCCATGTGTCATCTGAAACTTTTTCCGTCCAGGCTCCGGCCACCTTTTTCCGTCGGCCCGGCCAGGTTCCGGCCGCCGAAAATTTTCGGCCCGGCCAGGTTCCGGCCGCCGGAAAATTTCGGCCCACCCTCTGTTCGTTAAAAATCGTCGGAAAAATTGTTCGAAACTAAAAAAAAGTTGACGCACCTGCTTAGTGATGATTCATGGATGCGTGACCGCAGTTTACATCGAGGATGGGCTTTCCCGATGGTTTTCCGGCGACTTTTCCGGCGAGCGTCGATTTTTTCTGATTCAATACGTTTTCTGAAACTTGAAAATGTTGTAGGTTGTGAAAAAACTTAACCAAAGATGTACATATATACTTTCTTCTTCTTTTATTTTTTATTTTTTTTATTTTTTAGTTGGCGGCAAATAGCAATTTGTTTGGCGGCAAATAGCAAGGCCCTAGTAGAACGTGGGTAGTGGTTCCATAGGAATAGGACTGAGTTATTTCCATCGTTGATGTATTTAAACTAAGATTTGGATTGAATAAAGGACAGGAGAAAACTAGTAGAAGAAACCCTGGTAACCTCTCGCCAAGAAAAGAGAGAACTGGTTTAATCCCGCCAAGAAAAGGGATCTATTCACTCATACGATTTCAACTCGTATCATTTGGTATCAGAGCCTGCTATGGGCAGGAATCACGCCAACCGAATCGAAGCCCTCGAGGCCGCCAACAACGACTATCGAGCTAACTTCCAGGTGATTCAAGAGAAACTGAATGCCTTGCAGCTTACATTGACTCAATTAGCTCAAGTGCGAACAACCAGATCCGATGATCGACGCTTAGCTCACAGAGATACGATGAGCTTGCCAAAGCTCTCAATCAGGGAGCAATTGCTACGGATCGAGGAGAGCCAGCAACGAATAGATGAAAACTGGAAGAAGACTCAGCGGCTTCACAGTGGAGGCCCAGCTATCATATACCCCCCATCAGCTATCATCGAAAAGATTCAGGTGACTGAAGAACCCGCAGCGTTATTGACCGTTACCACACCTGTCAAGGAGAGGCACTTCCCAGGCACTGTCACTGTTGCGGCATTGTCCATTGATGGACAATCAATCGTTGAACTTGGTGTTGCCGTGAACAAAGGGATGGAAAAAGCTGCAAAGATAGCCTTGAGGCCCGACGAAACGACTGTGACCAAGGAAGAAGATGTCATTGATGCCCCTAAAGTTGTGGTGGACGTCGCTGTTGTCCGAGAGAGCGGGGTTATTGCCGCTCCTGTACCACCACATCGCACCCTAAAGCATCATTATGAGGAGCAGCAAAAGGTCATCATTGTCGTCAAGCGTACTGAGCCCACATCCTCTTTCATAATTAGTGGGCTTGAGGAAAGGTTCGGAGGAACAGTTTACGATGTTGGTAAGCACTCTACCTCGTTCAATTGTCATTGGGTCAATTGGAAATATAGAAAGAAGCAGATGGAAGATGGCGACCACAACAACATCAAGGGAAGCCGGGACCATATCGGTCTGAGCATGGGAGGATTGACCGATCGTTTGAGGTATGGGGTTGACCCGGTTAAGCCCACAGGTAGAGCTGCTAAAGAGAGATTGGTTGGTTGTGTGATAAGTGCAATCATTGCTCGAGCTCAAGGATACAGGCGAGAGGATCGATCAACTATGAGAGGATCAATTGTTGTTGGTGAAGGGAGTGTGAGATGCGAGCGGAAGGTGAGGGGGCCATTATTCAGCAATGTTGATGGGGCGCCAGCTCTTAGAGGACAACTAATCATCCCTCGCCACTGTGAGCCTGGAGAAATGATAGGGGAGTGGTGGACTTGTCTCATGTATGGGAAGGCAAGTGGAAGAGGTAAAAGGTACTTGAAGGAGATAAAGTTGGGGTTGGTGAACAAGAGGGATCAATTGGATGGATTAAAGGGAATGCATTTAGGTTCCTCTTTATGTGAAAGGCCGCCATCTGGGCATCTTATACCGACGAAACATTTGGAATTTGATGGGTCGAGGATGGGTTGGGGGCAGCTGCTGCTTGTCCACTCAAAAAAACGCACAAGGCTAACTTTATCGTGTGGAGAATATGATAATCATGGGGGAGGCTTTCTTTGCCTTGTCCATGGACCAAGTCACGAGGAGTTGAAAGATCAATTGTCCACCGCGCTGATGATCAAGTTACGAGGAAGAAGAACGGAGGTCAAGCTGCAACGTGGAAGTTTCAAAAGCGATCGAAGCCGCACCGCCGCAGGAGGTGCCAATGCAATCGTCGTTGTCGTCCTCCGCGCGTCGTCTTCAAAGATTACATTTCCGATGATCGTTTCGGTAAACTCGGCCTTGGGGACAAGGCCGCTCTTTCAGGAGGTGGTAATGATGAGCCCATAACTCATTCAGCTCGAGGGCCCAACGCAGCCCAACATCGCTACCGAAACTACATGGAGTAGCTAGCCCATTTCAACATAAGCTTGCTGCAGTAGGAGAACTCTTTTAATTGAATATGGTTGTTAGTTGAGTGAGTCATCATTAGTTGTTAGATTCTTTTGGGGTTGTTTACACAATTAGTGGAGTTAGTTTAGGAGTTCATAGTTAGATGAACGTGGGGTTAGTTCCACAAAATTAGGCTTCGTTGGTGTATTTAGGTTGAGAAGGAAATGAATAATGGCAAGCAGAATTTTAGTAAAGAAACCCCCTGGTCATTTCTCGCCAAGAAAGGAGAAAACTGGTTCAATCCCGCCAAGAAAAGGGATCCATTCATTCATACAATTTCAACACGTATCATAATTGTTCCATGCTCATTAATCCAACTGAATTGATAAGGCGCTGGATGCCTCGTAGTCTTCAATCCAAGCTTCTGAACAGCGTCTAGGCTGATAATATTTGCACAGGAGCCTCCATTGATCACGAGCGATAATAATTTCCCATCGACAATGCATCTGCTGTGGAATAAGTTGTCTCTCTGTTCGTCGGATTCTCTATGATTGATGACGACTGCTGGGGACTTCTCTTTGCCACAAAATCGAGGCTGTTGGGCCTTGAAACTGCTCGCCACCATCTCCTTTGCGCAGAACAATATTTCCTTCGAATTTCAAGTACAAACAGCAGCTGTAAAGGTAAGTACAGGGGCTGCCCTGTTGTGCTCAACAATTCTGCTTGTTACCAATCAATTGATTAACTCTTCTTCTTCGCCCTTGTGTAGAACGGGGCTCTGATACCACTTAATACGCCCCTGGGGAGGGTGTATGTTATCAAAGTAACGCAGCAACGACTCAATCGAAGAATCGATTGAGCTCGAATCAAGAACGAAGCGCTCTTAATACGAACTTGGGATAAAACGGAACCAACGGACAATTCCACACCTGGGGAAAGCACGTATGGTATAAAAGGGTAGCTGCTCGACCACGATTGAAGAGGATATTCAATCGATACTAAGCTCACAAGCTTGGAATCCACCAAACTCAAACAAGTCGCAACTTGCACAAAACCAAAAGGTTTGTTTTTCGATTAATCAAAGTCTTATGTTTTTACAACGAAATAGAAGGCTATTTATAGCCAATAAAACCTAATACAAACCTAATAGAACTAGGAAACAATTAAGGTAAAAGTCTACACTAAAAAGGACACAAAATTCGGATTTAAACTCTCTTTCTTCAAGCACAAGTAAGCTGCCCGGAAAACAGTCAAAAGACAGCTTTCGTACTAACTTCGCGCCTTTTGTTGAAGGCCTTCCCGAACTCCAATTCTTCATCCAATTCCTTCCCTTTGTTCACAAACATACCTAGTTTCATGTTGTGGAAGCCTTTTGACTTGAATCCCATCCATGCTCCTTGAATTGAGCTCCAAAGTAGGCTTCACAGAACAGTTTTCTGCCTTAGTCATTTTCTGGCAGTTTTCCAGTTTTGAGGTAGCAACTTTGAGGCCTTGGAAAACAACCTTAATGACATTGTCTGGATCAACAAAGCATACCATTGGAAACATGGTAACTTTATCTGTAAAACCAACCCTTAAACTTGAATTTCCACCAAGCCAATTGAGAGAACCATGCCTCCAAATTATGTACCCTGAACACGGATTTTGACTTAGCCAAATTCTGCCTTTCTTCTTCCCAACTTTGATAGCTTCTTTGTCAAGTAATTGTGACGTGAATGGTCGGCAATTTGGGATCATATCAATAAGGTTACTGACCTGATCCGTTTCCCCTGTTATGTCGTGTTTGGAAGGCCCATAAATGGGTGGTGTTTGATTTCAAGCAACTGGGTAGCAGGTTTTACGACGTCAGCTCGAGGGACATATTCAAGAGGGATTAGGGATTTCTGTTAGGGATGCTAGGGAGGATACGAGCGAGGGGTGGGTTTCTCGTGGGGGTAGGGAGGGTTGTGGGCTGCATGCAGTATTGGTTTGTTCCTTTAAGAGGCCCTTAGCGGCGTGTCTCAGGCGGCGGCGGCAGACGGTAGTGAAAACGCGCAGATTTCGCATAGACGGTGCTCATGACTCAACAGTGGTGGAGCTAGTGGCGCTAAGAGAAGCTTTTCATTGGTGCATTAGCAAGGGACTCTATGGTGTGCGCTTTGTTGGTGACGCTAAAGGGGTCGTTGATAAGATGAAGCGGGGAGCGTGACTGATGCAAGGAGTAGAGTCATTTACCAAGAGCTCAAATTTGTGGGCAAAGCTCACCCTAATTTTTCGGTGCATTTCGTTGGTAGATAGAACAATAGAGCAGTTCATCGGGTGGTTAAGAAGGCTCTAGCTTTGTCTTCATGGGATGTACTTAGCTTTAATTTTTATTATTAACTCTGTTTGGATTGGAGTTGTAAACATTCGGTCTATATTTTCTTGGTGATGCAAGGTATCATTGATTAAAA